CAAACACCTTTCACCTGATGGTATATTCCCTCATAAAAATTGAAGGTGTATGTGAAAGATGTTTTGAACACTAACTAGAAACACTCAAACAACGCCCTGTAGTATTTCAATGGCAGATCGGCGATATGTCATATTTTTCACACACCTCAAATACACCCTAGCAAATTTTTTTAGTTATAAAACTATCACTATTACTTGCAAACACCTTTCAACTAAAGGTGTATTTCCTTCTAAAAATTAAACGAATATGTGAAAGAAGTTTTTAGCGATATAATTTAGTCTTTCTTCGCTGTGTACTGAGAATTGAAGCCAGTGAGCTACAACATGCCCACTTGAAACTTTTACTACAAAGCTACTGTAATTTAGGCATACATGCATCTACTATATAGTATGTGTTCCTGGACTGACATTTTAACATGACAACGGTACGCCTCATATTGCAGTTCTGATGCACAAGCTCTTACATACCGCTGGTGTTGATGTCATATGGACCTTCCCGTTCCCCGTACTTGAACCCGATTGAACACATTTGGGATGAGTTGGGAAGACAAGTGTGACAGCAGAGGAATGAAGCCCAGACCATCAATGAGATGTCGCGTTAGGGGTGCAAGGAACGTTATACATAATTTTTCCAATTATATGAGGTCACAGTCCACTTTTTATCGTCTGTGTCTGTGATACAAGTCTATTTCCATGATGCGGTATACACTACTTGAATTGTGGGATTCAATTTAGCAAGTGTCAAATTTCATTTTCACTGAGTATATTATCTGTCAGCAAGTTAGGACAGTGGTGATTTTCACCACTTGGATCTATGAAACTACAAACCGCCAATTTAACCTAAAAGTTGAATAAAACAGGCTCTTCCCCACGGTGTGTTCAGTCATAAAATATTATACAGTAAGGTTTTTGAGAAGCATATAAAAGTTGGTATTCAAGTATAAGACAAAATCATGGATATCACCTTCTTCTTTATTGTATACACAACGTTTCTGGGCTTTCCCTTGCCTCTTCGTCAAGTGAAATTTTACACAGAAGGTCAGTCATTTTTCATCAGGGAAGAGAGAAAAACTTGTTTCCCAAACCTGACAATTTATTTTAGGAATTATTACGAAAAGTTGGCGTGTATTTCAATTATTCTATTTTTTTGCATTTTAACCAAACAATCAAAACCACTTCTGGTAGCCAGGACAGACAAACAACATGCTGTGTTGTCAACTACATGATTCTGCTGAACATAATTATTGGATAGTAGTAAGTGCCTCACGTGCAGCTCTCTAAAATAATCCGGATAATTCATATTTAAGAATCTGGATGTGTAATATTTTACCAAGCAATACAAAGCAAAATTGTCTTATTTTTCTCTCTCAATACCTGATTAACTAATCACTTCGGTGATTTGCTTTTTAAAACAGTACAAAGCATTGTCTATGAGCAGGTATCTTTTGTCAGTCAAAACATCAACTTGAATTCCAGGAGAAAATAATGTTCCAGCTTGTTTAAACAAATTACAAAATTTGTTCTTTCACAAGAATTTCATTCATAAATAGCAAGTTTGAGAAATATTTTCCACGTGGCAGATGACAGAGGGAATCCTATGTCTGAGCAATATGGCAAGGAAAACCCTGAAGTAATGTTATCAAAGTCACTTTAAGTATCAGTTTATGTCATGGTTTACAGAGTCAGGTCATTTAGAGATCCCAATGAAAATGTAACATGAATAGGATTTGTTATTTTTTAGAGGTTTATCTCAACTTATGAGATTTACCAAAGTGGATTATTGACTTTTTCCTGTAAAAGTTGCCAGATCACGGAGTGAAATAAACCATGTTGTCATTACTTGTCAATACATATTGTCATGGTTATTTGACGACAGTATTTTAAAAGAACACAGAAATGATTGTATTGTAATATAAATTTATGACAGTTTTTTATACAATCACATGTGACTATTTTACAAAAGTTAACATCTGGAATGTCATAGAAATACATGTAGTTAATTAAATATTTTACCCTTACCATCTTTCATGTCCGAACCGATTTGAGAAGACAGAGCCCAGCTTGGCTGGTTCCCGACTGTATGCGCATCGTCAATTTGTGGCATGAAGAGACGGGGGCCCAGTTTCGTAGCGAAATGAAAAGGAGTATCGGTGAACCAGTACGACAAGAAGTTATGCCAAGTCATCGCTGCGCCAGAGTGTGATGGGAAAGTGTACAGTGCTCCGCGTTGTCGCTGTGAGGAGCTTTTCACCTGCTGTAAGTCAGAATGGCGTGTGTTCGTTGTTTTAGGAAACTCGACAGTTACTCCCGCATTGGTAAGAGTTATCAACAAGATATTTAAGTTGTTGACGATACATGACTACCACGAAATTACCGCACTCCATCAATTTGTTGAAGAGGAATAATGATTGAATCATCAAGGCAAACGTGAATAATTGAATTGTTACTAACTGATTTCATAATATCATACATTCATGGCTTGACAAAGCCTGGAGTAGATACATTATTATCATGCGTGGTACAGTAAGGCCTCTATAAGCTGCACTTAACTAACTGCCTTTGTAGTTAAATCGAAAAGTGGCATTTTTCTGGTCATATCAGTAAACTTACATCAGCAGCTGATCAGTGTACCAATGGCAAATAGTGGCCTGTCCATGGACTGACTGTCCAAAAAAAGGACCAGTCCTGAACAATCACAGCCAGTCCCAAACACTAATACAATAAAAAATCAACAAGTTAAGTTTATTTTTTGAAATATTTTCCCCCGACCAAAGGATGGCCTTATTTAATAGGCCGTCCTTCACAAAAATGACTGTCAAGGACTGTGGGATGGGCTGTATTTTATACATTGCTTACATGGACCCTCCTGGGTAGTTGGCTGGGAGGGGTCCAAATTTTCTACCTGGGTACCCCACCCCCTATTACCCTACCCTAGCCGGACACCCGTTACGTTAGTTTCTGACATGAAATTTTGTAAGAAATGGCAATACATGTATATTCTCCAGCTCTGAGGCTAAAATTTCGGGGTTTTCAATATCGTAACCATGTATTATATTCAAAAGAAGTGACTGTAATTTTGTCTAAATCTTCAAAGACAATGCAACCTTTTAATCATGAAAGGATAACATATTACATTGTTTAATCTATTAGTCACATGATCATAACTGGTCCGGGTATTGCGACGGTAGACTAATGCTTAGTCTCTGAATACACATAATTTTGATAGTATTAGTAACAAACAAATCCATATGAATTGAAAAGGTGCCCCAGAGAGACCAGAGAACCTGAGGACATCTAGACTTGCTTTATTTAGGGCTTTAGCACTGCAGAGAGGGCTAGGCAGTAGGGAAAATAATGTAGTTTAGGGACTGTGAGACAGACTATTGAGACGGGTACCCAGGTCCAACTCATTACCCACCCATCCCGGGTATCCAGGTTACCCGTCCCAGCCCTAACAAAGTAACATATATATACGTGAATGCAATCATGTATAACTAAGGCTGAAGGGGTCGGTGTCGGTACAGGTACTACAGATATGTACCCAAGGTATGTTTCTGTAATCAGAAATGTACCTTAAACATCAAAAGTGAACAAAAACCATGAAAGTACCCAGTATCCTAAACGGCGTATGTGTCCGTATTCTTCAGCCCAAAACCAAAACCAGTTCATGTAATAGTTCTCGTTCACCCGACTCTGGTCTTTTGTACCGCGAAATATTTGTAATTGTGTATGATTGTTAATGATTATATAAAGCAATCGAATGCATGTCATACAATACTATTACAGTTCTGATAAAGAAATGGTGCGGAGTGGATTCGCCCTAGGGTACATTTCTGTATTCTTAATTTGGCTAGGGTACTGTATACAGAAACGTACCTGGGGTACATATCTGTAGTACCCGTGACAACAACCCTTTCAGCATAACGAATAACTAAGCAAAATTAGGGCTTGTTTTTTCATCCTGTTACCAGAGAAGTACAAGTCTCCCATATAAGCCATAACATTAATTATCATTTTCCTATCAGGGAATTTTCACTGACACTTGCTGCTGAACAGGCCTAGAAAAATCCCAGACAGCATCACTTCAGATAAGGCTAGCACGTCTAGTATATCTGTATTTTGAACAGTAATAGGGTCTCTGATAGTAAGGGATGTTGTCTTTGTTAGTGTGATTTTCTCTTGGATAACCTGATTATATGCCAGGAATCTCTGTGTTCATGATTTATACTGCACTGCTTATCAAAGTTTATAAAGCATTCCTATCAGACCGACACAAGGCTCCAGATAAATTTTCAACATCAGGAGTACGTACTCCTTACTTTTTCAATGCAGGAGTACTGGGAAACCTTAAGAGTATATTTAGAGTACTTATGGAATTTAATGGAGTACCAGTAATCTTGTGTTTCGTTTCATGTAAGCACAACAACATTGCTACTCTTGTGTAAACAGGTCAATAAACAATAAAACAATACTTTTTCAGATAAATACGTCTGTAAATGATTGTAAGACCGTACACCATTGCTGTAGTGCGTATCTGCTACGTTTTCTAAATTATTTCCTACCGTATCGTGACCGCCTCCGTGGTGTAGTGGTTAGAGCGTCAGCCCGGAGAGCGGAAGGTCGCGGCTTCGATCCCAAACCGCATCATACCAAAAGACGTTTAAATATGGTACTTGTTGGTCCCTACCTGGCTCTCAGCATTAATGGGTACAACAAGGACTGGTCGGCTCGGAGTCAGTATAATGTGTCTGAGTGGGGTATTCATGCTTCACTGCGGCATGGTATCTCAGTGGGCTAGCACTAAAAACCAGCTGAAGTCTGGGCTAGTACAAGCAGCCGCACATACACACGCATGCACGTCGTCATATGAGCGAAATATTCTCAAGCACGATGTAAAACCCAATTTCACCTCACCTCACCTACCACATCGTATGCACATTTTATATCCGCACATACGCTGATACGGCCCTTATCTGGTGCCCTGCCGACATAAACATTGTTTCAGAATGACAAGCTCTGAATAAAGCTGTGCTATTATCATGATTATATTTCTGGAAGTATGTAATATGTGCCAAATCCTTTTTTGAGTGCCTTGTTAGCGAAGGTATAATTGGGTTTGCTTTCGGAAACAAGCAGGTGAAAAAATGAAGCAGAATTCACTTCCTCAAGAAACCCTGCAACACTTCACATCTAATGGGGAGTTAGAATTTGATGACTTTCATTGAAAAGAAAATGAGATATCTATCTCAGACAGGTAATTGATTTTTAAGAATTTAACTGTGCCAGTCAGAAGTTTATTGAGAGTTATTTGTTTTAAGTCATATCATGTTTATTGTTAGATTCAGGTTTCTTTGCGCAAGTCAAGTACTGTTTCTGTAAAAAATATGATAAAATGTTGAGTGATTTCAAGCCAGAGGTGAAGTTATGTGCTGGCTTTCATCTAAACACTGTCTGGACATTTATATCATATGTGATCAACATTTTTTTAATGTTTCTGTTTGGTTCTCTCTGAAATATCTGCATGATCTAAGTCTTAGATAAAAGCCAGCAGCTAACTTGGTCTCTTTTCCTTTTCAGATTTTTTGTGATATTCATGGTGTGGATGAAGAAGTTGTTGAAGACAACGTATTACTTTAAACTGAAGCTTGAAATGGATGGAAGAAGTGAGCCTGTGCTGATTGAAAGAATCACAGATGGTCAGCAGTTAATTACCCAGATAAAAGAATGTGTGGAGTTCCGAGATGCCAAAGGACTCAAAACATATATCCTTGAACATAAGTTGTCGGACCAGAGTGTATTCTGGGAACTGACATCAGTACTGACGCAATATGTTACTAAGGACATTCTTGACAAGAATCCAAACTTCTTTGAAGCATGTGAGAGATGCTTGTCTTACCTCGTTCGCAATGGTAATCCCAAAGAGATGATTCTGGCACTCTTGGAACAGGCAGACTGTTTTAATGATGATGTAAAATACAGTGCACTTTTAAAATTATCTCAAGCAACCCTTATGAAATTGCCCTCTAAAAGATTTCATTCTTTGGACATTGCTTTAGAAACACTTTCAGCTCACATTAAATCTCTACCACTTCCCCAATTTACTGATCTTGAAGATGAAGAGCAACAACTGCTTGACACTGATATTGATGTTCACAGAATTGAGGATGTTCTCTCTGCTTACCTCAAATTCTTAGAACCATTTGTTGAAGAAGTATCTCTGTTCAAGGCATGTAGGACAAGGAATAATCCCCAGGTTCTAACCCTGAAGAAACATCTCTATTTTCTCTTAGAGCACCCTCTGGCCTACTTAGACTTGGAATACAATAGAAAGGAACAAAAGGCAAAGACAACAAGCAGGTGCCTAGCTGAGAGAACTCTTGATCTTCTTGTACATGTAGAAAGAAACTTTCATAAGTACCTTGAACTGGCACGCTATGACAGAACACATGTAGATGATGTTGAGGATACAGAAGACACAGATGCTATGGTGAGAGAGAACGAGGAAAACGAGAGGCGTCTTGATGGTCAGATGTCTAGTGCTGTTGAGAAAGATGATAGGGTGGAGAACTGGAAGTATGTGAAGTCAGTCTCTGAGCTTGCTCAAGCTTGTTTGTCATACCTGATGTATGTGGAGCATCTCGGCCTTGATAGACTACCAAGCATTTACAGCCATGGCTATCTTCTGGAGTTCAATCTGCCCTTTATCTCACTGTGTCTGAAGAGACAGGAATTCCTCATAATCTACAAAGGGTTGCTCTTGTTGAACAGCTTCTTGGATGTGCTTCAGCTTGGTTCACTTTCAGCTGATGTGTTAGATAACAATGCTTATATGAACATGACTTCTGATATGCTGGCAATCATGATTCACTGCCCTGCTAAGAAACTAAGGCAGATGTGTGTACAACTGTTGCCTGTATTCATCAAGTGTTTCATTACTGAAGGGCGGTACAAGCTCCTTCATATGATCATTGCATCATGTGAACACTCCGGTGTCCAAGGCTTTGTCACACAGATACTCAAGGAACAGATTAGAGAGAACCTTCAGTGTGAAGTTCCAGAAAGATTTTTCATTGGAAATTATCTGGACAAGATTTTGAAGTTGTTGATGAAACTACCTGATGGTCCGGCAACTGATCTGTTGGAAAATTCCGATAGAATAATCTCTGTGTTAAACCTTCTAAGATTCCTGATCATTCGAGACAAACCAAATCAGAACATTACGGGAATATGGACCAACTTTCCAAAATATGAAACCAATTTTCTTGATGCCATAAGGAAAGGCTTGGACATGTCAACAGCTCATTACAAGCTGGAACTCAACAACCTCCTGGAAGCCAAAGGTGACCAGTGGCCTCTTCCCGAGGACCTGGACTTTAGTGTGTGTGTGGGTGGAGAATCTCTGTCTAGTATGCCTAAAACGCAGCGAATCAATGTGTTGCAGTCAGCCCTGGTTACATTTGATATGACTGAAAGCCTTCTTGTGAGACTACTTGAACTGTGTGATCAACAGAAGGCATTACATGCAAAATAACATTCTACAGTTGTGCTGTCTCTGTGTATCTTTTTGTCCACGTTGTAATTGTAACCAACATACTGAATAAAAGTAAATAACATCATCTGTTTGAGATTCTTGTTTTCACATATCAACATGATCAGTGTGTGTTTTACACCATTTATGGTTAATTTGTGAAAAGAGAGAAATTCTTCCATCACTTTTTATGGGATATATCACTCTCATGTTTATCAATATTTATTTTACTGAAACAATGTGTAAATTTACCTAGGTGCATCACGAAAATAATTTGAATATTCCTGGTCCAGTCTTTGAACTGGAGACATTTGTAAGTTGCCTGGTGTTGTTTCACTTGTTAGTGGTGTCAATCAGTGTTATATACTGAATGCAGATACTGAATAGATATACTGCATGATTTGCTTGTAATTCTAGCTCTCTCTTACATTGGTTGTTGTGAGTTTCATATATGATGATTATACATCATTTGTTCCTGCCATGTACAGTGAACCTGACTTGTACTCTAAAATGTCAAGATAAAAATGTGTTACTATACATACAAAGAAGAGACAATAATATTTTGCCTTAATTTCATTGGGTGCCTAATTTAGTATTGACAAATTCCACTAAGAAAGCAAATGTGCTTAGTGCAATCTGAGTGCAATCATATGGACAAGGGTCAACTACAGTCTCAGGATCAGTTGGCATCAGACAATCATCAATATCAGAGGAATGATTTTAGGTAGCATCGGTCAGATTGGCAGGTTCAGCTATGTCAGCAATCTTTTCAGCAGCTGCATGACATTCTCACATGTATTCATTGACAATGAAGCGTAAATTCCACTAGCATTCATACTGCCAAATGATCACTTCCAAAGTATTCTGGAATAAATTCTTGGTGTGCATCAAGAGACCCTTTTGGCAAAGAGGAAAGGGAAAACCAACTGAAGGTATTGTTTGAGCATCCATGCCATCAGTAGCTCCAAGTTGAACAATCTCTTTAGAGGCAGAGACAACAACAATCAGTCTCAACAAACCAGGTTTTAGGGAGTCCAATCGATCCAGGAACAAATCATGATGTGGCTTAGAACTTCGTTTCTTTGCAAACAGACATATGAAATTGTTAGAAACCCTTTTTGTGAAGTACCATGACAGTATCCTGGAGGCACACGTGGTGCCATTTGTGTGCCGACATGGATGTAGTTTTGTATTTCTGGATGACAACACGAGCACATGGGGCTCAGATGGTTACTGAGTACCTCCAACAGGAGAACATACCTGTTTGACCATGGCCAGCACTCCGATCAGACCTGTCATCCATCAAACATGTCTGTGATACCCTTGGGCAGTGTGTATGTCGCTGGCAACAACCACTGACCACTCACTTCAAACTATGTGTCTCAATTCAAAAACAGCAGGACAAGAAAACAATTCAGTTTAGTTCTGATAATGGGGAAAATGTTAACAAAGTCTTAGACATGCAAATGTTTTGTGTACCTGAACATTGATGGAACATCCCACAAATGATGGAACAGCCGGTGTCAACTGGGATGTGAGTGGCAGCCAACACCTTGCCTCGCACGTGCAACTAGACATGGTCTGCACGCGCTACCCGTGTCCTGCACATGCGCTGACAGCAGTATCAGCAGGAACACATGATTCATACTGACAAACAATCTCATTCTTCACAGCGATCCTTCGTAGCCTAGTGGATAACACCGCCAAGCTAGAGAGCAAAGGGTTGCGGGTTCGAAACCAGTTATCACCACTATATATATTTGAAGTTTCAATAATGTGATATTTTACAATCAGTGATAGCAAGACAAAGTTGTATCAATCATAACTTAGGTTATGAAATGGCCGAAATTTAACCTTATATGTGGTTTCGAAACGTGTACTTCAAAACCTAGGTTTAGAAATGATCTGTGCAAAGTCACAGCCGAGGTCTACCTGATTCTGGAAGGATCCTACTTTACTACAGACAAAATCAGAGATAGGTTTATAATCATGTTTAGAAACCTAGATAAGTAAATTTGATGAAATTCGGCAAACTTCTTTCTGCCTGCTGACGTTATTCTTCTGCAGTAGCTATGCCTGGATGGGATGATACTGATCCCTAAAATTACAGACCCATTTCATTGGCCTGCTATGTTTGCAAAACCATGTAAAGCATGGTCAACAAAAGATTGATGTGGTACTCAGACTCAGACTGGCCATTTTGTTTCCCAGGAGTCATTTGTTAAGGATGCCATTGTAGACATACGACACACAGTGAACAAACTATCATCATTATAAACATGATTGTTGACAGTTGGCGCAGAGGGGCGCACAGCAGCAACAGGAATAGACAGGTGCGTCTCAAATCTATTCTGAATGATCTGTGACTTCGTCATCAGTGGCATCACAGTCATAGCTGATGGAATAACAAGCGGTGCGACAGTTGCCTGTTGGAGACCATCACGAGAACAGTAACCTGCTTCAATTTCATTGACAACCTTGGTTACACAGTGTTGCCACATGTCAACAGTGATTTTACCCAGCGAGGCCTCAACGTCACGTAATTTAAATGTGGTATTTGGTCTTGCAACGTCACCTGTCAGAATACCCCATATCATCTTGATTGGAATTAGGTCACAATGATATGGTGGTAGCCACAATATTTCTTCGCTTTCGACAGATACGGGATGTTGAATTTTTTAATCCAAGCAATCATATCACCCTTATGATTGTTAGACATCAGAGTTTTGCTGTTTGGATCCTGCACGCTGTGGTATGGCGCATAGTAGTTATATAATGGGGGTTCTATTACAGGGTACCTTATAGGCTTAATTCTACGTAATTCCGCTCCCAGCGCCTAGTATAAAATAGTGATTTTCGAGCAGAGACATCATTTGATGTACAGCCGAGCTCGCCAGCCTAGACCCTCATCTCAGTTTTTCGCTAGACCTTGACATGCTGAATGGAGTTTCCTTTATTGGGGGTCTCGGAAACTGCCAACGCGTTGAGATCTAATCAGTGGTATATGCGCGTGTGTCCGTATGAGTAAGGCGATCCACCGTTTGGTATCCATGGGCGACAAGGAGGTTTTATTCAGGGGGATTCCATAGATGTTGTGTTTTGTCGCTTCTCAACGCATTCTTTCGGTGTTTGAACGTTTTATTCTTGAACAGAGCTTGTTTGAAGAGGGCGTGTTTGATGTGTTGTTTCACCACGTATTTCTTGACCCCTTTCGCCTTTCGGATCTCACCGTTGTCGGCTTTTAAGATGGAATACATCTTGGGTCTCAATCCGACGTATTCAGTGATGGGTGTGCCCGCTCATTCATCCTTCATCTTGCCGAGGCCCTTTTTATTGGTCGTGCTGTGTAGGGCGTGGTCTTGGGGGTAATCGCTGGTGTCGTACAGGTGCATGTGTTTCGCCATGCCCTCGTACACGTCCTCGGTGCATATATTCAACAACAAGGAATCGGTGTCCGTGTACAGCAGCTCGCATTGATTGCCGTATTGCTTCTTGAGTTGGTTGTAGTAGAAATCGTACATGAGATGTTTGGAGAGGCCGAGAATGCTCATCCCCACGTAGACGGGCCCGGTTGAGCTTTATGTGGCTTTTGTTCATGTGCAGCACTGCCAAGTCGTTATCGAATAGCTTGCTTCAGTTGAATGCCGGGCTGGCGATCAGTTTTCTGAGTTTTTCCTCCTGGTGCGATTGCACGAGTTTTACGTTGACACGTTTCCTCAAGTTTTCCATGGTTTTGCCGAATACCGAATTGTTCATGAGTTTGTAGAGGTTTTTCTCGAAGTCGCTCGTGGCTCGTTTTCTCAATTCGGTGTTTAACCGAATGTACGGTTCTATCCAGTGTTTTTGATCAAATTTGAGCACTCGGTGTATTTTGGTCAGCTTCATACCAAGCGACAGGTACAGCTGCAGGTTGTGATAGTGCACAACGTTCTTGGTTTTGTTCATCAAGTTTGGGACGAAGTTTTTCCACCTGAGCCAGTGTGTTCTCACCCAACAAGTCTCGCTGATAGTCGGACATCCAGCCTTTTTAAGCAGCAGAGGTCGAGTCGCTGCATCGGTGTATCGATGGGTGATGGGGAAGGTATCGTTGGCCTTGACCAAACTGTCGAGCGACGACAGGAGGAACTGAGCGCTATTGATAAATCTCAGACCGTTGAGTGAGAACGAGATGTATTTTTCCATGTTGTTGGGGATACACTTGATATCACCGCCGACCTTCGAGATGGCCTGCATGATCAGGTGGGTATCGTACCCTCTCAAATTGTGGAAGACCACGGGGATGTTGATTTTTGGGGGATTGATTCTAAGTTTTAAGTTGCACACGATGTGAGCGGCACCTCGGTATCGACCGGTGATGTGACAATGATCTCTCACCGAATCACCGTTCAGGGGTCCTCGACATACGTGACAATATCTAGCTCGTCGATGAGCGAACTCATCCTCTGGCATCATATCCATGGAGGCAGGATCCGACAAAGCTTCCCTGATTTTTCTCTCTTTGGGTTGTAAGAACGTGAGAAACGTTTCGGCCGCGCCGGGACCTCGGTAAATCACCGGTGGTTCCGTTTTTCCATCGCATCGGACGACCATGTACCCAAACCCGCAGGCTTGGTGTTCTTGCTTTTTGTACTTGAAACTTTTTTCAGGGAATTGCGCGACGGTGTTCTCCTTTTTAATGAGAGCTTCGAAGTCGGCGTAGATGAAGTAGGGCACGGGCATTTGATGTTTGTGGTTGATGAATTTTAAGATGTTTTTATTTTCCCAAGGCATATCGATTCTGATCGCCGTCTCTCCCTAGCCTCGGCAATCCTCCCGGTGCGATTCTAATAAATCAGCTCTAGCATACCCATGCAGGCACCATTTGCAGAAATGTTTCTTTTCTCTATGCGTCGATTGATCGTACAATAGTCGGCTCAAACTTTTAATCGCCGTGTAGTGATACTGGTTGCCTTTATCGACTATGAATGAATTGATTCTGCACCTGGTTTTGTCTCTCACAGAGCTTATCCTGTGCAGGATGGTTTTGTCGCCTTTGTGGCCGAACACGTTGACAGCCAAAGGGTTTTGTTTTCGAATCTGGTCCAGTAG